CATCACCCTCCCCTGCGACTTCGAACTCCCCCCCCCCTTGACCGACGCCGTCCGCGTTTTCCTCCCCATGTCCGTGCGGACCAACCTGGCCTCCCTCACAGACCTGGACAACCAGCTCTCCGTCCTCTCGGTCGCCCTTCCCACGGGCCTTGCCTCCCGTCGGCGCCGCCTCGCCCATCTGCACGCCCTGACCTCCAGACTGAAAGACTCCACCGTGCCCCTCGGCGTCACCCTTCTGACCACAGCCACGGGCGCCCTCCTCCCTCGCAGACTGCTTGAGGCTCAGGCCGACTTCCTCTGCCACAGGACCACGGGCGTCGTGACCAATGTCCCCGGACCCGTTCACCGCCGACGCTTCGCGGGGCACCCGATCGAAGGGATCGCCGTCCTGGTGCCCGCCGTCTCCTCCATCGGCATGGTCCTCTCCACCTTCACCTATGGGGAGGTGATGAGTGTGGGGCTGGTGCTGGACGAGGGCATTCCCTGCCGGGCGGACGAAGTGCTCGAGGCCTTCGCGCGCGAGTTTGAGAAATATGAGGCTCTGGCGGCCCAGGCGAGCAGGGAGAAGGTGGAAGGTCCGCTTTGAGGCAAGTAGCTTGGAGAAAGGTAAAGTGGACAACAAGGTGACGAGTGCGTGAGGGGGTCTGTGTGCATGGTGCGACCACCGCGCTTTTCGCGTCGGCGCGTGAATCGACATGGCATGTACAGCTGACTATCCATGACTTTGAAAAGGAACAGCAAGGATTGAGCGGCCTCCAAGGCGGTTCCACGGGTCCGAAGAGGACATACACATTGTGCCGGGACTCCCCAGGGCTTTGCTATTCATTCACATAAGCCAATTCACATCTCCGCGAGTCCTCCATCCTCGTTTCTAGTTCTACAACCTGTTGTCCATCTTTTATCCTGGCTCCTCTTTTGACCTTATTTGTTTATTTTTACTGTGCCAACTACCTGGTAGCATGTGACCACTGCTCTACTCTATCCTTCTCTCAACCCGGAAGCTCTGACGGCAAGCTTTGCCCACTACTCGTAAGACCCTTGGACGACATCCACGCTCCTCCCTCTTGCTCTACTTTCCTGGCGCCTGCGGCTCTTGAGGTCGCTTCGGCCGCAGGGCAAGAGGCGGAGGATCAACACATTCCCCTCCCTCAACCGATTGATGATCATGCCCACGGTCGCCAGGCACTTGGTGGGGGCGGGCCTCTCGCTGCCTTTCACCGCCCGCTGGACGCAGCACTCCAGGATCACGTCCAGGGAGGGGGTGTGCGTCGACTGGACCATGATGGCCGAGAAGGCGCCCATCAGCTCGTACAGGCCCGGGCCCGAGAGGAAGCGAGGCCAGAAGCTGTAGATTGCCATGCGCGTCTGGGACTTGAGGCCCTCGAGCTCTGAGGGGAGGGGATAAGAGAGCGGAAGGAAGGTGAATGGATAGGTACAGGGGCAGTGGCGGTGGAGGAGGGAGACCGACGGGCGGGGCCGAACCCACCTTCCGAGGATATAAAGAGCTCGCTCATGCGGTCGTTGCACCAAACCGACTCAATACCCGTCGCGTTGACGGAGGCCACTACGTAGCAGGCGTTCTCATCCGCCGCCAGCTGCTGGATTAGCTGGGATATGCTGGGGTCGCCCCCCGCACTGTTCCCTTGTGCCCCTCCCGCCGGGGGCCCCCTCTCCCCCACACCCCCGCTCTTTGCTTTCCTCCGTTTTGGCGCGAACGCCTGAGGCTGGGTGTCAAGCAGGTGGTCAAGCAGAGGAAGGACTCCGGCGGTCATATCCGCCACCCCTCGAGCCTGCGAGCACGCCCTAATCAGCGCCCTCGCGTTGAAGACTTTCTCCCAGTCCAACATCCCCTGGGCGGCCAGACGGGCGATGGCGCCACTCACGCCGTTCCGAGCGTGGAGGATGCTCGCTGAGGTGGAGTCGAGCAGGGGAAGGGAGGGGTCCACGGGAAAAGCGGGTTCCTCGAGCCGGGTGGAATCCACGGCCCTGGAGACGCGACGGAAGGGGGAAGAGTACTCCTCCCACGCGCGCGTTCCCGCATTGTCGCCGCGGCCTACTTTGGCAGACTTGCGCGGCCTGTTTTCGTTACCTTCCAACCTTTCGTGATCCTCCCAATCACACCGTTGGTTGCTTTTGTACCTGACACCACGGTGGGTGGCCCCCCTCGCCACGTCCTCCTCCGCCACCTCCCAAGTCCGGGCCGTTTCTTGACGTGCGTGTGAGGGGACAAGGTGATGTTTGAGGGAGTTGGAAGTGAGTGCGCGCGCGTCCAAGAGAGGGAAGGAAGAGGTTTGATCACGCGGTCGTCGCGGCAGCATGTGTGGGTGCACAGGGAGGATGTGGTCAGGCTTAATACGACGGAGGCAAGGGAAGCCCGCGGGCCTCGAGAGAGACGGGGACGACGAGGCGGCGCCAGGGGGAGGTGCGTGCGCGGAGGAAAAGGAGAAAGATGCGGTCGCAGACGTCGACGCCGAGGCAGCCCGAGACGAGAGGGACGGAACTGCCGGTGCTCGGACAGACCGATGAGCTGCCTCGGGCACTGAAGGGTCCGTGGCGTAAGCGAGCGGTAAAGAGTCAGGCCTCTCTCGTAATCGCGATCGGCAGCCTCCACTGGTTCCAGTGGCCGATTCCTTACAATGCTCGAGCTCCGGCCTGTGCCAATGTACGGCATATTTAGGTTACACTTCTCATTGATTACATACATGCGATCGGTCTCATGACCTGTCGACGTCATCCACACCCAAAACTTACTGTGCCGGTGGACTCAGGCCAGCAACTGTCGACAGAAGAGAGAGAGCACTGACGTCCTTGGCTTGTGTGGCATTAGGGCGGAAGACAGCAGGATGAGGGCCGGAAGGAATCCATCGCTCTCTACCCTCCAGCATTGGCGCAGACATCTTGTTTGTAAGTTGAGGACCCTGAGAGAAGAAGTGCAATTCAAGCGTAGAGATGAATGAAGGGTGGAAGAGTGTGTCGTAGCGGTGCGGTTAGACAAATGAACAACGTCAATAGTGCAGGACATTCAATCTCCGGCGTACTTATACTCGGCGGTTCCGACGTGGTCGCGGCGGGACAAATCTCCGTGAATATCTCCTTTTGAGGGTACCACAATGCTTCTTATCTAGAACTCGTAGCTATCAAGTACTGGTAGCTGTTCATGCACGAGAACCGAAGGACGACGAAGCGGGGTTAACTTGTCCCCCAAGGCCTCAGACGACACGTGGGCAGACTGTCGGCTTTTTCCCCTCCTTGCACTGGAACGCACCACCCTCCCCTACTCCACTGCGTTGCCAGCCTGACGACAGGGCACACCGCGACACGGGCACGCAGGAGATACCATACACGCTTTGCCAACACAGTGTGTTTCATACAGTTGCAACGGTGTTAGATTTGATCTTTATCTTCGTGTGTTTTCCCTTGCTCGGCCTTACCGCGAGCGGAGTCCTCTCCTCAGCGCTGATCGCAGTAAGTCAAAAATCGAGCATACGCACCAAATGTCACACCAGAAGAAGATAAAAAAATCTGTATCTTCCAAAGGAGAGATGAAATAGGCGCGCACAACCGCAAGGATGCAAGGCTGTATTTTTAATGCGGAATGACTGCCTTATGGAATCAGAGCGTCGCGCAGACAGGCAGAGATGCGTAACATATGCCGGTGACTTCATAAAGCCGCGGAGTCGGAGTAACAAGTGTTCTGTTCGTCTGAAGAGAACCAACATGGCCCCACGACCGAGCGCTTATGCTATGCAAGCATATCTCTTGGAAGGTATACTAAGGCATATATAGAAAAATAGACACAGACACACTTTTGAAAAAATCTGAACCAAAATGGAAGTTAAAAAAGTTACCACGCCACAGTCCATAAGAGTTGTTGCTTTTTTTTAGGGGACAGAGCCACCTCAAAAGTGTGTGACTCTGTGTTTTTTTGCTAAAACCTCACCAGATGCTGAGAAACCTGTACCCCCACCTCTCAGATGCAGTAGGTCACTTTTCTAATGTATTGGAAAGACGCATGATAAATGAGAAAGAGGACAAAAACAACCAAAAAACCCCGAGGAACCCCTTGAGCAAGGTGGCGCAGGGGAAAGACGCGCTTCAGATTCAACCTAGATCAGCGGGCACGGTTGGAGAAAACATTTGGCTGCGCTCCCATGACACCATGCCTCATACCCTGAAAGCTTTGCCCGTGACTGGACATGTCATGCTTGGATACGCCAGCTCCTGGGCAATGCTCTCCAAGACGACTACCCCCGTACTGGGTAGGGATGATAGAAAAGGAGCCAAAAAATGATGACGTACAGAGCCCGGTTGCAACAACTGCATCGCCCTGTACTGGTGACTTTTCATTTTTCACTTTTTTAATGGTCATTTTCTTCCCCATTCCACTTTCATACCTTTTGATGAAGACAGCTGGTTGAGATGTGATGGCCTTGCGGGAGACAGCGCACAGAAACTTGCCGCGTCCATCATGCTCGTTCTAGAAGGGAGGAAAAGGGAGAAGGGAGGCCCGGTCTCACTGAGCGCACGAGCCCGCGCTCACGCCTCTCTCGCACACGCACATGCGGAGAGATAGAGATATTTCCTCCCTCCTTACCCTCCACTCCGGGTCGACCATGAGGGGCAAGGGGAGCAGGTCCTTGGCGCGGAGAGGATCGCCGGTCATAGGGCTGCGCGGGCGCGTGGCGGGCTGTAGAGAATTGGGAG